TCAGTTCCATTTAGAGTTGCTGACTTCTGTTGTTTTACTTTCCTAGAAAGAAAATAACTAAATAACGGAAACCAAAGTAACTTGCTTTAATAGWGTCTCTCATTCTTTTGAATGAGGACACCAGTGGCAGAGGCAGGAGGTTGCATATGAACTAGGCACTTTGGAATGACTAAAAGAAATCTCCACCAAAATTTCAGGTGCATCTCCACTGAAGAAGAATGGGGAACTGCTTACGCACTCTTCTGCAATGTTRCAAAAGAAATTAAATAAAAGAGGAAGTACCATATACATTAAGTTATCACTAAARCTCATCAACTTTCAGGTCTGATAAAAGAAGTTATACTGATTTTGCAGAGTATGATAATCATTATCTAGTTTGTGAACAATACCCAAAGGCATTGATAACAATAGGAATTACAATATCCAAAGGCAAGAAAGGCCTGTATTTATAAACTACCTTCATTAGTCTTATTTAAAGAAATGACTATGTTTACTGGAAGCTGAGAATTTTAGAAACTTCTGTTAAGTAATCTGGGAATTTTTAGTTTGCATATTTGATTTTTCCTRTAATGTTTCGTGGTTCTGGCAACTTGGGCATTAATTCAGCAAAGATTTGGACACAAATTTACTGCCCAGAATACTTTCACCATGACAATGGAGTCACTTCCATCATACAGAATTCAACTTCTCTCTCAGTTTGTGCCCCTACTTGGCTTTACGAGAAAAGAAAAACTTTTGCTGGAAGTGATCAATAACTATAAATCAGATTATTTTCATCCTGATCTTCAGGATCGCTTCTATGTATTAAACAAGTAGACTTTAACAAATAGCAATGAAATACATTAATCAGCCGCAAAAGTCTTCTCAAAAAGAGAGAAGGTTGCTGAGAACCACTGAGTATAATTCCTATCCCATGTGGGACAGGACAGTAGGTGAGCTGTGGTGGCCACACTGCAGCAGTTCTGCTTCTTTGTTCCCATCCCGGTGACTTTATTGAGGATTCACTGCATTTCTGAAAATAAAGAAGTACTCTTTATGGTTTAGAGACTATATAATTTTATCACAGGCAAGAAAAGAAAACTAGCATGCAATAAAAATGTTSTTGCTGGTTTTACTGAAAAAGTAAAATCTGATAAATCCCATAATCCTGATTTTCAWATTCACAGTTTGGAACAAATGAGGATAATCATGTATATTCAAGGGCTTTTCAATATAAACTGTTGTCCAAGTCCTCTGCACTGGTATTACATGTAATTTAATAGAATAATCTTTGCAGTACCTGTTTCTTGGCTTAATTTATTTCTTTTTCTTGTATCCCACTATTTTTTTTTTATTTTTATTTTTTTTTTTGCAAAAGGAGGCCAGACAGTACTTGGGAGCTGAATATCAGAGGAGAATTGTTCAAATAAATAAGTTGCTGGATGTAAAGTGACTGTAAAAGTCTTAATCAGAYATATTGATGAATTTTATTAACAAAAGTGCTTTAAGAAGAAAACAAAGGTCTCACCTCCTTCTTACAGCCAGCACTAGCTGGTGAGAAGGATGTATTTATTATAACYAGAATGGCACATTTACAGTATGAATACTGAAGTTTAGTATTCTGGTCCTTATATTACAAAAAATCCCAAACACTAATATTGCAAGTAATCTCTTAAAGTATGCAACACCSTAAAACAAAGATTGATCACTTAAAAGCTGTGTCTGACAGGACTACATAGACTTATATTTTAGAAAAGAGAGCAAATTTATTTAATCAAGCAGTACTTTCCCCCTTCAAACTGGGTAATTCCCCATTGCTTTTAATGGACATTTCCTTGTTCCGTAAAGAAAAGAGTGCACACTAATGCTGTAGGCTTGAGGACAACAGAGAGCTGAAGGTACTTTTTATGTTATGTATGTTTCCTATATAGTCCAGTATAAGCAAGACTATTGAAGGGAGCCTTACACCTGCTTAAAGGATTAATTTGAAGTCCTCTAAATCCATTAAATCAAATTCTAATTAAATTAGAGTCAATATTCCTTAGGTCTTGTTTATTTTACAAAACAATCATGTTTAAACATGGTGTTGAAACMTATTTCTCTTAGCTGGCTGAATGGACAGAAAAATAATGTGTTAACATTATATCCTTTAGTAAACTTTGTACAAAACTAATCTACAATACTGCCATTAATTGAAGTGCTCTTGGAATCAGGTCCTGCTCTGCATGAATTAAGGTATCAGACTGAGACATATTAAATAAGTACAGATAAGATTTGAATCCATAATATTTTAAAAGTCTTGTTTTGATGTAAGTTCTATTTGTGTTCCATGCTTTCAAAAATKATTTTTCATGAGTTTGCATTACACCTGTTTCCTATGATTATTGATTTGTATGTGCTGTGTATGGAACTATTGGCATAAATACATAAAAACTTGCAGTTTCAGAAAAAAATTAATCCCCCTTCAACACATAAATATGCTGGTCCACATTTCAGACAAGGAATGAACATCACTGAGACTCAGTCTTCGGTGCTGATGATACAYGGTGTTTGAAACAATTTCTCTRTATCATGCAGAGAAGARTTGAGGTCTGAGTAGTGTGCTGTTSGGRAAAAAWGAATATTCCAAGGCAATATCCATCAACAGTTTTGTTAAGAAATATGAGTCAGTTGAAATTGGAAACTGAAAAAGAGAGTGGTTTTTCTTAATGAGACCACAACAGAAACAAACATTTTCTTTCATAATTGCACTGAATTCTGTAAAAGGAAAAAACTGCATGTAGGGAAATGAGAAATYGAGGTATAAAATACCAGAATTGTAATTAAATAATGCATGATACTGCTGCCTGTAGCATCACTTTCTATACTGTATAATCTYTTTCAAGCCAGAAGCTATACTGCAGCATCTAATGCATACTAGTTTAATATTTGACATTATTTCCTTTGCTTAGAAAAATTTCTTAATGCATTATGATAGAGCAAGTCAAAACTTTCATCAAAGTAAAATATTCAAATAATGTGATCTTTAAAGAAATAAACAGAAAACCAGAAGTATATTCTTTCAAATCTGTGCTGGGAAATAATTCAAATGACTAAACATTTTAAAGTTGTGTAGCTTTTTTAAGGTAACAAACTAAAATAAAGTACAGTGTTCGTTTTTTTTTATATATTCTTTATAAAATATTATTATTTATAATATTACATAATATTACAAAATTATTATTTATATTATTACAGCTGCCTTTTCAGCTATATTTCTTTCCATTTGCACATTAAAATGGAACACATTACTACYACTTTGTAGCTTTTTTATATTCCTTTTAATCAGCACTTCCATTTTGTTTCTCTAATTTGYAAATTGCCATTTTTTCAGTGAAAATAAATTATGTGCCTAATTTTACTCTTGACAAAATTGTTTACTCTTATTGATTAATCACTTTCCCGGTTTTGTCTGTTATCTTAAACCATAAATCCAAAAAGACATAGAGTTATATTTGATTCRATATTTTCAAACTTGAAATCTTTTTGCATTTGTAATGAGAAAGCTCTGGCTGTTTATTTCCATAAGGCTGATCCAGTAATCCATCTCTATCCTAGAAAACATTAAAAGTATACTTTCAAGTGCTTTGGTGATGAGAGTGAGGGTTTCTTATTTATTAGCCAAATTTGGGCCTGAAACATGCTACATCTGACAGCAAATTAAGAGAGAGGAATAAGGTTCTGCCAACAATTGACAGAATAGAGACTTTCTCGATTTGTTCAAATAAACAGATCCCACTTTGCTCAGATTTAATGTGAGTTTTGCCATTATCTGCAATGGGACCAGACCTCAGCCATTRTTTTTCATTTCATTGCACATTATTTTAAATGATATACAGCTCACACTGTTAAATATTGTAACTTAATTTGCTTTCTATGAAACAGCCTCTCTGAATAAAACCAGAGAGCTGTAGCTCTCTAAGGCATGAAAAATACTTCTAATCGAATCTATCTCTGTGTGGGAAAAAATATGGCAAGYGGATGACAAAGAATTATCAGCAAACATGACTTTGCCATTCTTTTAAGAAAATATATTCCAAACCTGACCATGTTATGAATAATTTTTAAATTTAGAATGTGTAT